CAGTAAGATGTATAGTATGTAGTATGTGTAGTATGAGTATGTATGTCCAGTAAGATGTATAGTATGTACAGTATGAGTGTATAAGTCTGAGCAGCAGAGCTGTCCACATTTCTTTACCAAAGAAGTCACCTTCAGACTGGCTTTGTTTTGAGAGTAAACTTGGGCTATTGTGGTCACCGTTACAGAGCCAGTGGAATGAGCAGCTTTGTTCTTGTTAGTGTTGAACCCACCACATAACTGTCAGGTGATGAGTCAGAGGAGGTCCACAGTATAAAGTCAAGCTGTGCCACTCCTATGGCCATAGTTATATGTGCAAAGTAATTTAGTTTAGTTGGCCCACACACACACTTCCCTCCTCTACACAGGATTGGATTGGTTACCATTCATCATTTTAGAATTGACCCAGAAGATCCCAACTCTTCATCAACCAGCTGAACGATCAACGACACGACTGGCTGTGTGTCTTGTTCATCTGTCTTTCAGTTTGAGCAGTTCCATGGCGCACGCACGCACGCACGCACGCACGCACGCACGCACGCACGCACACGCACACGCACACGCACACGCGCACACACACACACACACACACACACGGCTTAGCCTGCGGGGTTCAGTGAGGACATGCGGACTGGAGCTCTACCTCTGAGCCACAGCTGCCCATGGTCCCTCTTCCCTCATGACTGCTGTTAGAATGTGTATTGTGAAGTGTGGTGAGCTTGGTGCAGTGAGTGGTGTTCTACATGTTGTAGCTAAACCTCGAGACTGTTCTGTCACTGCAGAACACACAGGCCACATTATCTGCATCTTCCAGCAGCTGCAGCTGCATGCTAGAACTTTATTGGAAATGTAACCGAAAAAGAACTGTAATATGCTAACTGTACTAATAAGCCACCTGGAGGCTGTGAAGTAACATATCCAACATCTTCTGTGACACATATATGATCTTTCACATGTTAAACATCTTCAGATATGATATGTGTGACTGCCTCACCTGTTGCAGCATCTCCTCTGTAGAGGCCAGTTTCTTCCGGTGCTCCTCCAGACAGCTCTCTAGGTCTCTGATCTTCTCTCCCTGGGCCTCCACCTGGTCGGTCAGGACGCTCACCTACAGTGAGAGGTGACACAGCATTCTCTATGAGAAAAACATACTGAGACAGAGCTGAATTGACCAGGTGCAGAAAAAGATGCTGTTGCAGAAACTATTATAGAACTGTTATATAGAAATATTGCGGAAATATTGGAGCATATACACATATTCGCACGGAAAACTAACGAGACACACGTTTATGTCGTGGCAATGAAAACACCACCTACTTAAGTTTCATGAACACAAATCTAAACGGATCTTCATACCAACATCAACTGGTCTCAGTGGCGGGCCGTGCATTTCATACCTGGGCTTGCTGTGCTGTCCAACTCAGCTACGGTTATTTGTTTCTAGGGGTGTAACAATACACGTATTCGTATTAAACCGTTCGGCACGAGGCTTACGAACCGAACAATACGTTTGAATAATACTAGTGCATTTGGAAAATGCAGAAGCTTAAAGTGTGGGAATTATAATGTTTTCGGTGGACTGCGCTCACGTAACAGACAACGGGCTGTGGCCTCTGAACCCAGAACAATAACAAAAAACAGCTGAGGCCCCGCACGTGTTCAGGGAGGCTAAGCTAAACTAGCTTAGCAGGGAAACAACAGCAGTTAGCTGTTCCCTACTGATTCAAACAGAGAATCAAATGTCCAAAATAACCCTCGATGACGGGATGCTTAGTCATTAACGGACAAGTCAGAATCAATGTAATTAACACAATGACAAGAAAGAGTCACATATATTTATATGACAACATAAAATGTCAAGCATGACAAATCAACCCTGCTACGCTAGAGCACGAGCCATTCATATTATTCAATAAAACGACACGATAGACAAATGAACACAGTAACGCTACTGCAGATGTAAAAACAAAAGCAGTTGATTTACCAAAGCTGCTGTTCACTTAAAGACAAAGTCCATCCTCCTTTCTTTGTTAACAGAGTCAGTAACTCCTAAATCCATTTCTCCTCCTTCAGACATTGAGTGTTAAAAAAACAAAGCGAGGTAAAAAAATAAAAAGAATCTACACCAAGCAAAATGCTAAAAATGTCATAACTTCTCTTACATATGTTTCAACCTGAACTCTTACTAAACACTAAGACCTGCTAGCTGGCTTCCTGTTTGACAAAAGTCACGCTGGCCCACTGACCAATCACGGCACACGTTAATGCTGACGTACTTAGCAGGCTACCTGGGTACCACTGGCACGTCAAAGAATACGCCCAACATGTCAAACTAAAGATCTGATTGGTTGAACACTATGACAATCAACAATATTGTCCCCATTCACTTAAACTGCAAAGTCTACCTAGAGGACATCGAGCCTCTCTTCTATAGAGACATAGAGGTGAAATCTGATTGGATAAAAGCTCTACTTAAAACAAGCTGCACTGGAAGCAGAGCAACAGAGGAAGACAGTAGCTGTGCAATGAGAACATAAGATAATGGGAAAATAATTATAATACATGTAGTGTATTTGTGAAAAATTATTAAATGATAAAATAGCTATAACTTTGTGATTGTGTTTAGGCCAGCAGAGAAGGCCCACCACTGCCTGGTCTCTTCCTTCACTTCACACACCAACATGTTCATCCTGGCCAACCTCTACTCCACAACAACACACATTTACTCAGGACTGTTTTATTACATTTACTAATGTCCAAGACAACACACTCACCTCCTGCCACACACACACACACACTGACAGGAGCTGATTCTCTGTCACTTCAGCTTCTCTGACTGCTCCCCCTGCAGCTCTCACAGCACACAGGCAACACAGAACCTCCAGCAAAGTTACAGAGGTGTGTAGATGTAGACCAGAGGTAGCCAACACGGTGCCCGCGGCACGGCGGACAGCCAGGACGAGGCTTCCGCACCGCACTAGGTTTTCAGGTTCTGAATGGCGGGAGCATCCCGTTGGTGCCAGACGCGAGCCGCGAGCGCACCCCGTCGTCAGGTCCGTAAATCCTCGGAACAGGCCGCGGGGCAACAACTCAAGGGTATCGGGGGTAGAGGCGAGGCAACACAATCCGATCGAAAAGGCCCAGACTAGAGGTTTGAACGCCTCGGAGGGTTGGATCCCCCGCTCGGCTATAGACGAGACTGGTTACTAGTTTCTTCGTGGAGAAAAAGGTAGCATTGGAAAAGCTGGTGTCGGTGACAACAGACGGGGCTCCCGCGATGACGGGCCGGCATGCAGGCTTCATTGCGCAATGCAAAGGTGACCCAGACTTCGCAAAATGTCTACATTACCACTGCATCATTCACCAGCAGGCACTATGTGCAAAAGTAACCGGCTTTGATCATGTGATGATACAAAAATATCAGAGATGTGATACCTCTGACTTTCAAATGTTGAAACAGATTAACAGAAATAAAAGTTGCATGTTTAAATATGTATGTGTAGCTATACCATCATTGTTGTGGAAATCATTATTAATAATTATTGTGAGGAATAATTAACTGACATGTGATCAAACAGTCTCTTCACATATATTATTATTATTAAGGTGATCTGTGCAACTTTGTTATTCAGGAAGTTTGTATCAAATAAGTAGCCCTTCATACTACTCGGTACCTTTGAAGTAGCTCTCAGTTTAAAAAAGGTTGGTGACCCCTGGTGTAGACAGTGGTCTAGGTGGTCCACAAACAAGTGAGTAAATGAAGGAATAAGTTTGTGAATGAGTCACATCTAAGATCCTGTGTGTGTTTAGCACCTACAACATGTATTTGACTGTTACCTGACGGAGTACTGTATAATCTATCAGCTATATCCTATTGTTTAAGGGTGTAGTGCCACAAAGCAACTAGAAGATGAGGCACAACTTTGATAGGACTGTATAAAGTCCTACTGTTGAAGAAAAAGACTCTTACCTCGTCTGTGCCCCGCTGCTGAGCCACACACACACACACACACACAAACACAGAGTGTGTATATGCTAACACACAGACAACACGTCACACAGTCAGTCCTGAAGGAGAGGCAGGTGAAGGGAAAGTAAAGCAAAGAACCCGTCGACAGCCAGTTAAATCAAGAGAACTTCCGTCACCTCGATTGTCAACCAATCACAGCTGGGCCAAGACGCACAACGTGTAACAAGTAGGTGTGTGAGTGAGAAATGTGAGGACTTCATGAACCAGAGCCACCTAGGAGGGTGGTGCATTAAAAAAGATCCAGTCACATGACCTGAGACAGAGTAGAACACAAACATACAGCCAGGTGAGCAGAGCCTGAGGACTGTCATTTCATTACCTGTCTGTAAAGTCATCCAAGGAAGTATTGCAGTATTTATATATTCAGCAGTATTACAAACTGGGTGACATTCTGGAAAAAAAGGCTATATTACAGTTTTTCTCCATTTTATACACAAAAAAAGAACCTATGCACACAATTCTGACACTTGAAGCTACCAACTAAAAGACTGCACATCTCCATGGTTTTCACCCAGGATGACACCTGAAGGACTGGAGCAGTGAAAATCACAGCTATTAAAGTGATCTCAGAGCAATGAGAGCTGCTGACATCATATAGAGCAGACATACCGTATATCATCTTCTGCTTTACCGCGGAGCACTGATGTCGATGGTTACTGTAAAAGCCGTCAGTCAACACATGCTCAGACGGTCTGAAGGTGTCTGGACATGTTTGCTATGAAATATCTAGTCGTGTTCCAGGATTACAGACTAGGAACTAAGATGTTTCCCTCTGAGTCAATCCCTCTTGACTCATTTACTTCAAATAATCCCGTCTCAATAAAAACTACTGAACTAGAATTACAATTATGATGCTCTTTGATTGTGGGAGGACCACAGAAGTCCCATTGACTCCAATGCAGATGCAGACAGATGTGTTCTGGCAGACCGACAGGAAACGAGGGGGGAGGACATGCACCAGCTGGAATCTAACCGGTGTTTTCATGGTGCACATTTAAGACCGGACGTTCTCCTAACAAACTGGTGAAAGGTGTTCGTTGTGCAGACTCTCTCAGGGGTAGACAGGTACAGTACTGACCTGTAGCACCAGAGACTCCTTGTCTCCTTCTAGGCGGAGCAGTCGTTCTTGGTAGGTTTCATTGTTGACTGGAGAACACAGGTCCACCTGGATGAGACACAGAGAAACAATGAGGCCGTGCTCTTCATACATGGAGATGAGTTCACCTGAACCTTTGTCAGAGAAACAAGTCCTTGTATGTTTATTCACAGTATGGATCATGATTTCTCAAGATGAAAGCCACACATTCAACAACAAATGAAATGTAATCATTACTGTAAATAAAGCAAACCAAACTAAATACAAAAAAAAGATGAAACGTGGATTCCAGCTTGTAAAACACTATAAGATGAACATTTATACAGGGAAGGGAACAGTTTTCATGGGGAGCTGTGCTGTCACACAGTTCCCTAAATGACTGAGGAGTCTGTCAGCTCCTGGATCACACATGGAAGATAAAATGACTGAGTGAGAGCACTATGGATGTATGCTGTGCATAGCTTGTATACATAGACTAGTATGTATGCATAGACTGCCATGATGCCTGCTTCTTGTACAGGACTGGAGGGCTGCTGCTGTTGCTGCTGAAATACAGATTGTTCACAAAGCACACGATGAAGAGTTATCAAATATCATGTGTCTTGTCCAGAATTAGCACAGTAATAAAAGGCCCCATTATTCTGAAGCTTGTGTTATGAGTTTCACCAGACCATATCATTCCCATCTCAGCGAATGGAGTGTCAGGCTCCGTCTAGAAATAGAAATGCTTTATGTATTTATGCATCACTAAAAGAGAGCTTTTCTTTTTTTTTTTTCAGCTCTTTTGCTGTTCTTGTAGGCCGGAACTGTAAAGGTTATGACAGAATGATGAGTTCCACACCTCAGGAAATAAACACTCTACTGACTACCTTATTTACAATTGTAAATAAGGTAGTCAGTAGAGTCTAAAGAGTCACATTATGTCCAGGGTCGACTCTTCAGCCTGCTGCTGCTGCTGCTGGTGAACTGACAGAGAGGAAAACATTATTATCCAGCTATGAAGCCTGGACCCGATCAGATAATGTTTCTGCTTCTCTCAGCATCAGAGCAGAGGAGAAGCTCAACAGATCCAGATGGATTACAAATATCTTTTGACATTAAAGCTGCTAAATTCTAAATTCGGAGCGTTTCTATTGCCTCCACACGGCTCTCAACATGGTGACGGCTGAGTCGACGGCTAGCAGCTAACGGTGCTAACAGTGCAACCTACAGTGCTGACAGAACGAACAGTATTTAACTGCGCGCTCACATGCACTAACATGCATTCACATGTACTAATATGCACTGAATGGTAAATTACAAAACACACTTCATCCTCTGCTCAGGTAGATATTACTCCTCCATATCTTCACGTAGTAGATGATAGATGTTTAACATCAATTCATCTTTACCACCACAAATGTGAGGCATTACCATTGACACCAGCTACACTGCAATGATTTGATTTATTGCTTTTTTGAAACAAACAAACAAAAAAATCTGTATTTACACAAAGCAATTAATAACTGTTGCAAAGGATAATTATAATGTATCTGAAGAATATCAGTCTCAGCCTTTTGATGAATCATCTCAAGACCATAACGGACATTTAGCAAGTAGCTGTTTTCAGCATAAAACCCAGTGCACACTATGGCCAGCACCAAACAGCACACAGAGAGGTCAGTGGAGCACTTAGTAGCTAAATAGCCACGTGTTTCACTCTGGCGTTGGTGGAGACCAAAACAGAGCTGGAAGCAGAGTGAATTATATATATTCATCATAAACACGACTGCTAATGTTTCTTGTTGACCCTAAGTGGCTGAGAGCACTGGTGGAAGGATTTATGGGCGACACAGATTTTAGGAAACACTAGTAACTAGTACTAGCTGGTGTGAAATGGCAGTTACTTGTTTTTTAATAGTAATGTTTATAGTACTGAATACATTAATATCTTACATTCTGCATTCCACCCACAGCTGTCTAAACTGTGGCCAAAACACACTGCGTTAAATACTTGGCCAGTCCAGTAGAGGATGCAGAACCCCTAGAACCTAAACATGCATATAAGAGGCCTTCCTGCCATCATCAAGATGACCCAGTTTTAAGAGGAGAAGTTAAACATTTGCATCTTAGGGGCTGAAAATCTTATCTGATGCTGCCTACAGAACTGTACAACTCGTAAAAACCTACTTTGCACATAAGGAGTACGACAGTTAGCATCCTGGTATGATTTTAAGTAACATGTTACAAGTAAAAGAAAAGGCAGAGCACAGATGATCTCTCCGAGTGTCTACAAACACACACTGTGATCCTTCACTGCAACGAATTGCTCTAAATTTATGGTGGATTTTCAACGGTATCTGACAGTATTTCATAATAACGGTAACATACAGTTAAATGTTCATCCCTCGCATGTAAATTAACAGTTAATGCTGTCAATTAACAATAACAGCAGACTACTGTAATTTAGCAGCATAATACAGTATTTTCTGTGAAGTGGTGGAAATATGCTTCTCTATACAAGTTCAGTGAATCTCAATCCATCTACATCGTACTGTTAATGTGTCCGTTACGACAATAGAATATTTTTATTATTCAAACTGCTCATTGCCTAAAAGTCATTTTTGAGTGACAAGACGTGACCGACTGTTTCTGAACGTGACTTTGGACACAACAGCTTCAGTTCATCCTTCTGAGCAGCCATGTGGAGATCAACCGAGGAGCCGAGGTAACGTTACGCTTATCATCCGAATTTCAAAGTCTACAGTATTTTCTTGTCTTCATAATTATTGAACTGTTAACATCACAGATAATGTTTCACTTGGTCTGTTTCGTTACATTAGGTTGCTTATATTGGCTGAGCTAGCTCTGTAACGTTAGCTAGCTCGAGCTCAAGTAGCCTTAGAAAGGTTAGTTAGCTAACAGCATAGCTAGTTAAGTTAACAGAAATAAAGTTAATCACCAACTACAGTGTTAAGTAACGTTAGTAACCTAACTTGTGTTTACTTGTGCTCTTATTGAACTGACTGTAGGACCGCAAACGGGACGACTATCAAAATGGAGAGCGGACCAGAAATCTCCGACGTGTTTTAATTCAGTGTTTCACTGTTGATGCTATTTTAATTCAATATCTGAGGTTATGCTAATGAGTTCAGTTAAGATGGTCATCAAAGATTTTATGATTTTATTAGTTTTCTTCTAAACATGTAGTACATTGTGAGTTTTGTGATGTAATACAAATGTCCCTTTATTGTTTGTCGTGAGAACATATATTCAACTGCAACAAGTATGTATTGAATGTCTATTGTGATTCTTTTAGTATTGATGTGTATTACCCTTTGTAAATAAATGGTAACATTCTGGCATATACCGTAAAATCACGGTAAAACTCAGTTATCCTACTATCACATACCGTAATCCAGTATACGGTAAGATACCGTAAAATTAAATTATGGAAACTGCCCTGTAAAAACAGTAAATTACTGGCGTCCCTGCTGCCAGTAAGTTACTGTTAATTTACGGTGAAATAGTTTTGAGTGTTCACGATCTGTCTGACACTATCAACAGACTGCAAACTAAACTGTTTAGGTGTGCAGGGCTGTTACGGAGTACTGGATGACCTGCTTTGGTTGGTCAGGAAGTATTTAACTGTACTGTGATCACAGATACTCCACAGACTGCAGAGTGGCAGGGACATGTCAGAGATGACACAGCACTTAAAGGGGCTGGTAGAGGAAACCAGGCCAGTCCAGTACTATCAGTCTGTCATCGCCAGAGACAGAGAGAGAACCAGGATCAGAGCGCATTTTGATTCCTGGGTTGTATGTAAGAGGAGAGACAGTAGGTGACGGAATACAACTGTAATGTCACAATAATTACTATATGGACATATTGTACACATATGGACATGACCTAATCATTTTCGACTCTGCTCCGGTGTGGGAGCATTCTGGGCTGATGTTGTTGCTTATATCAAACTTATAGCTAATAGTTGTTACGATGCACGTTTTGTTAACACCATTGAGAAACTGTTAAGTAATGAATGACTGTCTATATCCCTGTGCCAAATGTTCTTTAAGTGATATTTATGTCAATGTTATTTAAGTACATTTTTTGTTAACTGAGCCCAGTTATTTATTGTTTTATTTTATTTACGTTTTAATTATTTGGATAAAGTAGTACTAGTGCCAGGCCTAGGAGGAAGCCACTGTGAAGCCAGCTGTGCAGAGTGTTAACAGTGAGTGGGTGGGACATGCAGTACAGTGGTGTGAAAAAGTGTTTGCCCCCTTCCTGATTTCTTATTTTTTTGCATGTTTGTCACACTTAAATGTTTCAGATCATCAAACTAATTTAAATATTAGACAAAGATAACACAAGTAAACACAAAATGCAGTTTTTAAATGAAGGTTTTCATTATTAAAGGTGAAAAAAAATCCAAACCTACATGGCCCTGTGTGAAAAAGTGATTGCCCCCTAAACCTAATAACTGGTTGGGCCACCCTTAGCAGCAACAACTGCAATCAAGCGTTTGCGATAACTGGCAATGAGTCTTTTACAGCGCTGTAGAGGAATTTTGGCCCACTCATCTTTGCAGAATTGTTGTAATTCAGCCACATTGGAGGGTTTTCGAGCATGGACCGCTTTTTAAGGTCATGCCACAGCATCTCAATCGGATTCAGGTCGGGACTTTGACTAGGCCACTCCAAAGTCTTCATTTTGTTTTTCTTAAGCCATTCAGAGGTGGACTTGCTGGTGTGTTTTGGATCATTGTCCTGCTGCAGAACCCAAGTGCGCTTCAGCTTGAGGTCACGAACAGATGGCCGGACATTCTCCTCCAGGATTTTTTGGTAGACAGCAGAATTCATGGTTCCATTTACCACAGCAAGTCTTCCAGGTCCTGAAGCAGCAAAACAGCCCCAGACCATCACACTACCACCACCATATTTTACTGTTGGTATGATGTTCCTTTTCTGAAATGCCGTGTTACTTTTACGCCAGATGTAATGGGACATACACCTTCCAAAAAGTTCAACTTTTGTCTCGTCAGTCCACAGAGTATTTTCCCAAAAGTCTTGGGGATCATCAAGATG